CCCAGACACACAGTGACCGAGATCAGGGCCCCGTCGGGCCGGGCGCCGCCCAGACACACAGTGACCGAGATCAGGGCCCATTGGGCCAGGTGCCGCCCAGACACACAGTGACTGAGATCAGGGCCCCACGGCCCTCGGTAAATAGCTCTGAGAGTAATTCCCCGCACTGTGAAAAATGTATTTTCCACCTTACTCCCAGTCGGAATTTGCGTAGCTACAGCCATGAGCCGTAGCATATTGTTAGCCCTTGGTCGGTGTGATGTAGTGGGGGGCTGTCCCCTCTGGTGGGACATTCACTGGTCACTATGCTTGGGCTGTGGGTGACCCCTACTGGCCTGCGTCTGTAAGCACGGCCCAGCAGGGGGCGCTCTGAGGGCCCTCATGTCAGGCAGACAATGGCCGGACGGGTTCTCCCCTGACCAGGAAGGGGTTGGAACAAAGGCAGGGTGTGGCTTGGAGAAGGGGTAGCCCGGGTGTGGGGAACCATGGAGGAAGGAATCTAAGCCGAGAGCTGGGGGTTCAGGGGCCTGTGTGCCCTACCCCAAGGGGTCTAAGGCTGCTCGCCCTGATGCCTATGTCCACATCGCGCCTAAGCTTTGCTGTATCGCTGAGAAGCAATAAACCTTCCCCATTCTACTGGCTGGCGGATTCACATCTTGCTGCAGACGGGGGTGCAGGGTCGGGGGGCTCCCTGAAGTGCCGTCACAGTTGGCTAGATGGGAGGGGGACCAGAAGTTCTGTGGGACGTGATGGGTTCCCTGAATCAGACCCCTCAGCTCCCCTGTGGCCTGCTGAGAGCTTTCCAAGTGTCACCCCCAGGCGTTCGCCACGGTGCCGCTTTCCTGGGCAGCCAAAAGGCGCCCGGGTGAGTGATCAGCTGAGGAGGGGCCGTCGATAGTGGCTGTGAGTGCTCGGGAGTGGGCCACAGGAGCGGCCTCTTTCATCTCCGTGGGTCGCACGATTGTCGTCACCCAGGCGGTCTCCCGGGGCAGGGGAGTGAAGCGGGTGTACCTAGACTGTGCAGGTGTGGTGACGCATCCGTAGCCGCGCTGTGATTGGCTGCAGAGGGTGCGTACGGCTCTCCCAGCCAGTTGTGTGTGCTCAGCGCACACCGCCCTCCACCCGCCCTGGCTTTCCGTGTGTGTCACGTTGGTAACGCCCGGAGAAAACAAACGACGTGGCCGAAAACCAGCCGAATCTGGCGACCCTGCGCGTGGGGAACAGCAAACAAAACATCTAGTGGGCCATGGGCAGAACCCCAATGGGACGCAGGTCACCCTTCTCCGGAGTAGCACCTCTGGGCTAACGCACGCTTCAAGCTCAGTACTGGAATAAATCCCAGGTGTGCCATGAAATGAAACGGCCCAAATTATTGAGTCATGATTATTAAGCAAGCAACTGCTAGTCCCCTGGCGTTAGAGGGCCTGAAATCAGGGTCTCTCTGCAGTGCAGTCTGGTTTTCTCCTCTCTGCACCCCAGTCCTGGAACAGAGGTGGTCACAAACAGCGCACCAGCCCCCTTTCTGCACCGGCATCAGGGAACCAGCCGTGCAGAATT